ATATTTTTTTTTAAATGCTAGGGATCGACAGTGAAGGCTTTGAAGATCGACCAGTCGATCGCGATCGACCTGTTGGTTACCCCTGGTCTAGAGAATGTACCAGACAGCATCTACAGTAAGACCTGCAAAAATCTTTTCTTTTCTAGGGGGAGGCCCCCCAAAACCTTCGTGCCATTTCGTCCGCGCAAATTTTTCAGGGCAATCTCTATTGGGCTCAGGGCCATCTGTAAATTAGCTTAGATGGCCCACACAAAATCCTTAATGTCATGTACTGTCGCACATGCTGTCTAGCTGACCGATCAGAAGTGCAGTGAAACCCAACTAGGCAAGACACTACACACAGTGTCGTGAACCGCTCAAAATAGAGTGCTGCGCTCAAAGTTTGAATTATTTCAACTTTTACATCAATCCGATGTGCAACCAATCAGCTGACAGCTGTGCATGCTAGCTTAACTAACTGTTTTTAACGCGGCCAACCTTGAGTAAATAGCAAACAAAATACCTCTATCTCTATCATCTGAATACTGAACGTTCTATGCATATGAACTCTATCATCTGATGATAGAGTTCATATGCATAGAACGTTCAGTATTTTTTCGATGGAATAGAATTGTATCTGAATGGGCAACACATCACATTTATGACACATTTAGTAATGTTTAGTTAAACTACTTGTTGTCAACAGACGTCAGAACGAACGGTTCATTCATTATGAACAAAAAGCAGTTCATTTATTGGATTTGCAACACTGATGCAACTGGTTGTGCTCGGAAACAGCTAAAAATCATGATGTAACAAAATAACATACTGCACACTAGTGGAAAAAACTGGCCTCCAGAAACTTTTGAAATGTTAAAGTAGACCTGGTACAGGCTTTGAGAAACCCTGCGGTGAAATGGTAATGCTGAGCTCCTTACTTTTAGTTATATTTCACAATACTCCACTTTGAGTAGGATGAAAACCAACTCCTTTACACAGAACATAACTTCTTATGCGCATGTGTGTCAATTATGCATTGTTGCCTACCTATAGCCAGCAGGGGTTGGTAGTGATTGATGTTTTTGGTGGTTAGTGGTGGACACATGCGGAGAGCAAATGGTGGCAGTGGCAGACCGGATAGCAGGCCGCTCAGCAGGAACTTCAACTGGACCTCCTGCTGGATGGATGATGGAGGAAGGGCTTCACCAGCTATCAAGGTCTGACCTGGAGATAAACCACAACATTTGTTAATCAAACACATTGAATATCGCATGCTTAGTACTGCTACAAAGCAAGAATGTGACAAAACAGAGATCTTTGTCAGGCTTTATCAAATCTGTTTATCTTGAGTATTGCTACGAGTATGTGATTAAATGTCATTTATTTCAATTTTCCCTGGGCATACAACCCGCAATATTACAACTGAAATGGAATGACAAAATTACAGAGAAGCAATTTATGGGATTGAAGTTCCATTTCTGTGCTAAAAGGCTGTTTGGCCCCGATCCAAGTCCGTTATTATTGTGTATGTGTTGATACAACTGTGACCAATATAAAATTTGTCGAGCTGATCCAATTTAAATGATACATCTGATGGCTACATAACAACTTGATTTGAATCATTCCCTTTAACTTTCATATTGTGTTCTACAGTATTTTGTTTAATATCTGTGAATAGTCTCAGCCTGTAAATGTTTGGGAGGAAGGTTTGGACAAGATTTTTGGATCTCTACTCTGAAGCAACCATCCATTGAGATATCTCATTAAAACTGCAGGCAGCACGTGATTTTACACCATTATACAAAGCACAATTGGACACATTTAAACTGTCATAACTGCGTTACAATAAACATGTCTTGGATAAATTAAACACAACGATGTAGTTAAACTTAAAGGGGCCCTATTATGCTTTTGGGGGTTCTCCCCTTCTTGTAGTGTGTTATACCTTTTTGTGCATGTAAATAGTCTGCAAAGTCTAAAGCCCAAAGTTTTTTCCAGAGGGAGTTTCCCCCCCTGCCTAAAATGCTCCATTGGACTCCTTTGTTTACTTCCATAACATAATGGTATCACTACATAACAGTCGTGCTTCCATTGGCTAGCACTCCAACACATTGTATGTCATAGACTAATTGCCGGAACAGGTGGTTGACCAATCAAACCAGATCCGGCCAGCTAACCAATCAGAGCAGATTGGGCTCTGGTTTCAGACAGAGGGCGAAAAGAGGTGCTGCAGCACAGGCAGTATGAGAAAAATAAAAAGCTTTTTGAACATTAAAACATGGAGACATAATGGCACAAAATACAAATATAAACCTGAAAATGAGCACAATATGTACTCTTTATGACACAAACTACCACCAACTGAAGCCAATAAACTGTCAGCAACAACTTCAGCTACAGTATCCAACAGCTTGTAAAGTAAAGTAGCTCCTGCTTAAACTCCAGTGGAGGATATACCTGACGCAAACACTGGGTTCTAATTGTCTACAGGTGTCATCTTGCATCGAATGGCACAGTTTCATTTGTGAGATAAATGTGTGGTTATCTCTCTTGCACTCTTATTTCAGAATCCTAGACATCTTTTTGTAACAAAGCTCATTAGCCCTCCTACAAAAAAAAAACATTCAACTTTGCTTTATTCCAAAGATGTTCTTTGGCTGGAGTTGAAAAGCTCACATAAAAAAGCTAATTGTATTGTGGTTTTTTTCATTAAGAGCAGTGGTACATTTTTAATAAAGGATCAGGATGTAGGGGTGATTTGAGACAATTAAGCCAAGACCCATGTTTCACACAAGAGTACCCATACGCTTCCACTTCTTAAATTCTACTTATTATGTAAGTTCTTACAAATCATCTGCTTCTGCAGAGCTATAGGGCACCTCTTAAAATCCAAAACGCCTCAAACTCATAATTGGTACTGATGGAAAATCCATTTTAGCTTTCATTTCATGCTCCATAACAACCCTCTTTGCATTGGTCTTTCTAAATGATCAATGCAGCTTAAAGACATAATAAAACTATAGGGACACTCTGAAAGCGCAGGCCACTTTCCATCAGTAAGAAAATAAGGTATGAGTGCAATAGGGTCTTTTTTGGACCATGCTACCTCCTTTTATCAGCAAACAGACAAACACACAGAATAAAAACATTACCTTCTTGGCAGAGGTAATGAGATGAGGGCAGGTCTGCATAAACTGATACTGCAATAAAAAAAACAATCAAGTATACAACAGATTGCCATGTGCAGAAATAGAAAATATAGAATGATTTATGGTTTTACAGGTGGCAGCTCTTTCCCTTAGCATAATCAGGTCACCATTACCCGCCTCATTCTTGTTGTGTCAGACAATCAGCACCAGGTCTAAACAACAAGCTCGCTATGACAACATTTAAACAACATGCAATACAGTGACATTCCCTCCTAACAACAGCTTTACTCAGCAACTGTCAGACAGAGCCATGCCTCCGGGCACTAACTGGTGTGTGTGTGTGTGTGTGTGTGTGTGTGTGTGTGTGTGTGTGTGTGTGTGTNATACACACACACACACACGCACAAACACGCACGCACACGCACGCACAAACACACGCACACCACACACACACACACACACACACACACACACACACACACACACACACACACACACACACACTTCAAAGTATTGCTTGTTCATACAGTTGAATGTTTGAGCTTCACTGTGCACTGCTGAATGATGTATGTGCAGAGTTTGACCATTGAAGACTTTCTTCTGCTCTGAAATTGAATATATTTGTTACATATTGATACGATTTTAATAAGAGACTCTCGTACACACACACACATACACACATACACACACGCACGCACATACACACACATACATGCACATACACACACGCACACACATATACGCACACCACACACATGCACACACACACATGCACACACACACAGACTTTTTCATTTCAAAGTATTGCTTGCTCATACAGTTGATTGTTTGAGCTTCACTGTGCACTGCTGAATGATGTATGTGCAGAGTTTGATCCTTGAACAGTTTCTTCTGCTCTGAAATGGAATATATTTGTTACATATTAATAAGAATTTTCGATTTTTTTTATTTGATTTTGGATTTGTGAATGGGAGAAGTAGATGGAAAACATACCAAACACTAATTATTTAAAGTAGTGTATTTCATTGTATATACGGTAATACTAAGGAGGCATAGGCCTATGATGATATAATGTTTGAAATTATTGATATTAAAAAATGGATTTGTTTTTCACGTCATTAGTGTGTTTTTCTTATCAGAAAGTGAAGTTATATATTTGTAAGCTCCAAATCCAAATGTTTGCCTCAATGGCCTTTGTGCCCTGGCATGTGGCCTTGGTGCCTGACACCAAAGGCCAAATGGCCTTGCCCCTAAAATGACGAAATGTCAAGCCTGACTACAGGAAAGGGGAAAATCCAAAAAGCACAATATGGCCTCTTTAAAAAAGAACACCAGATTTCCAGTATATTGTAGTATGAGACAGCTGCCAACATTTCAATAGTCCTTAAATAGAAAGCCCACCTGAATGAAACATCCGAACCATATTCAAGACTATAATAAAATAATGAATCACAAAGTGTCAAAAAACAAAGACATGCCAACCATATTTTATTTAGAGATGCAGATTATTGTGTTTTTAACCACAGCACAATGGCAGATAAATCTCTCCTTGCCTCACACATCTCTGTGCACCTCCTTAGTTCGCTAGTCACTAAAAAGACTAAATGTAGTTCAGAATATTATTTTGTTTAAGTCCTTTAAAAAAAAAAATTAAAACACTCTCTGCTTTTGAGTCCCAACCTTTAAAAACGGTTTATGTAGCTTTGGGGATTTCGTCAGAATCAAACCCAGAATAACTCTATTTACCCCGGGGGGAAATGTGGTTACGTGACAGTTGCAACATTTTAGAAAAAATATTTTATAAGAAGTTGAAGTTAAAAATGATCTGTGTGTGTGTACCTTTGATTGGTGACAGCCCTGCCGGTGTGGGCTTTGAGCTCCCACAGCATGGCTCTGCCGTCGCTGACCATTAGCGCAGCGCTGTTCTCGTTGACAGGGCAGATGACCATGCGATATGGCCGGACTGTCTTGGTGACGCGGATGGCATCGCACTGAGAACGCAGGTCGTACACCAGCTCGTGGGTACTCTGCTCGGGGTCTGAGGGAGAGGGGGAGAAATGGAGGAAGTTTAACAAATTGAGAAGTAGAACAAAAGGGCAGGATGGGAGGGTGGTGGATCGAAAAATAAGGATTATTGCGGGAGATACAAATTGATAAACAAATTAAAGAAAATTAAAAAGGGGAAAAGTGGATAAAGACATTGAGTTGATGTCATTTTAAAAAGGGAAACATAAAAAGGTAGATTGGAAGTAGATAGCAGCGTGAGAAAGTCTGATTGAGACACCTGTGAAGAAATGTTTTAAGTAAGTGTGAGAAAGAAGAAACGGGAGATATGAGGAGGGATTTAAGGAGATAAGAAAATAAGACGAGAAATAAATGGCTCACAAAAGGAAATGGCAGGAAAGAAAATAAATGGAGTAATATAGAAGAGATAGCAAGTGGGGGGAGGAAAGGAGGGAGACTCAGCAACAGAGGACTCCCACTGGCCTATAACACTAAGCTAAAGATAAATGAGGGTAAGAGGCTAAATGCTCACTGGAGCATAAAGCGAGGCTCCAGACTCTGACTGCAGTGTGTCTGAAGAGATGATGACGGGGATAACACAGGAGTGAGGACGGGGGGAGAGAGTACAACCCAGTTAGCATGTACCATGAAGAGGTTTTATTACCTGTTGCTTCCTCTTGGGTTGTAGTGGAGCGACACACTCGGAGGGTGATACAGCCGTTCTCGTGGAGACAGTAGAGGGCGTCCCGCTGAGCGCAGGGAATCACCTGGACCCAGGGAGCAATGTGTGTTCAGAATCAAATGCCAACATGTCTTTTGAATAATTGGTATTGAACAGGTGGTTATTTAGTTTGCTTGTAGCACTGCATCATTGTGTGTGTGTGTATATTTCATTTTCTTTATTTAGAACCAACCCAAATGTAACAAGATATGAAAAACAATATGTTTACTTGTATTCTTTGCTCTTCACAGATGGATTAAATTACTAATCTTTTTTTTATGATGAATTAATTTTTGGTGAATAAAAATGTCTACACTTTTCTGATGCCTAAGGGAAACAAGTTGAGGCTTTTTTTGTAGGCTTCGTTCTTAATTTTTATAAATGTATTCATACAAAATGAAAATAAAGGACAGTAATACTTGTTCAGTGCTGTAATACAATACTGCATTGATTCGGAGTCACAAGAACAAAAATAAACTGCATAAAATGTATAACATTATTCTCATAAAATAGGAAAAACTTAAAAAGGGGTGTGTCCTACTTGTCCAGTGTAAAAGTACCATGCAGCATTGACTTATATTCATAGGGTTGAATGCATATAAGCTATCGGAAAAAGGAGCAAGTTGTGAGCTATGAGAGCTATTTAAAAAATGTTTGGGACTTTTCCAAAAAAGTCCAGAATTTTACTAACTATATTCATATAAAATACTCAAATTAAATACAAAAAAAGTGTGCCCTTGATGTCCAGTATATTACTAAAATGCTCAAATAATATTTTGCAGAATCATAACTGCTACACTTCTATTAGGGTCCTTCAACCCTGACGTTGTCTGTGCTCCTGATTCTAACAAAAAGACCAATTAGCTGGAACCTAATAACTTTTATATTAATAATAATGTTATTTTTTTGGGGGCCCCAATGGCATTGACCGGTTCACGCAGTCTTCAAAGTAACCAAGTAACCTATGCATTTGTAATTTGTCTGTCCAATGGCCTTGCTGCCTTTCATGTCATGTGATACCTTGCGTGACGAGCGAACCGTTTAATCAAACTGTACTGTGTAGCTAGCAGCAGCAAGTTCGGCAGCATTATAACAAATGTAATAGCTTGCATTTATAATGTACAGCAAACCAAAGCACAAGAGCGGCGCTCAAAAGAGAAAGGACAAGAGAGAGTGTATGTCCGTGCGTGTGTGAGCGTATCAGCGTGCGCTTAGGTGTGGGGCGATGGGGGGGCCCAAAACAATATTTGCACCGGGGCCAATCACAACCTTGTTACGCCACTGAGCAGAATCCATCGATCGAAAAATTAATTATGGCCAGTTTAAGTACTTATATGGAATTGTCAATCAACCTTTTTTTACAATTATGAGCCTCACCTTTGTTGTTCTAATCATTTTAAACCCAGATCCCCCCCATGGATTGCATTACATGTACAGCAACTGAAGGTACACCTAATAAATGGGATATGTGCCAGATCTGACAGCGTGCAGTATAGATGTGTCTATATTTCCCTGTCTTTCCTTGGAGCGTCTACACAGGTCTGGACCTTTGCTGCAGCGGTGTCATCAGTCATGCAAATTGTCCGAGAGACAAGCACTTTATAACACTTAGAGGAGGGAGGCGTTGGCCGGACAGCGCCTGGGCGGCTGAGTAATACCCCTGGACTCCTGGCTCTTTGACTTCAGGACTTACTCCTCAACTACAAAAGGCTTGTTCTCCATCTTTGTACTCTTTAACCATGGACATTTATTAAAAACGAGATCGCTGACAGTCCCATATAAGTATGATTTATGGGAGCGCGATAAAGTTTACAATTTCACGCTCACAGAAAATGTCAACTGGCTGTTGTGATAAATGGAGGAAGAGTAATCTGGGCATTGCTTTTGCATAGCTATGTTATATATTTCAAATGGCATATTATGGCTAAAATAGAGTAGAACTACCACAATGAAAAACACGAGATACACAACAATTACGAGGGTTATTCACTCACAGAGGGACAGAGAGTAGGGAGTGGGAACAGAGTGACATTAAGAGACAGTTTCTGTTCCATTACTGGCTCTGCAGCCGTGACAAATCCTTTATCTAATACCCTCACAACCCTCACAGCATTCATCAATTTCCAATTAGAAATCCAGACTTTAAACAAATGGGAAAGTCAACTAAAGGTCACCGGTGCTGCTGAAGGTGGCCGTAGAAAGGAACATAAGGTCAGACAATATGTAAGGACAGTGAGATTTCTGTGCTGACGCTAAGCACTGCCTGGCATTGCTGTTCAGTCATCAGACCTTAATGAGGTGAGCACTGAGAAGGAGGAAGAAAAGTAGAGAACTTTATTATATACAGCAGGTGGAATTGGCTCCCTGGGAGAATCATTGATGAAAAAAGAGCCCTTCAAGTAAAGTAATGAAGGTAGAAACTGGATCATATTATGTGGAAAGAAGGTGATGTAGGAAGCGTGTTGGAGCGAGACAGCGCAGCCGTGCTTTCATTTATCTCGCCCAGACTAACTAAGACATCAGAGCAAAAATTGGGAAACATGTCTCTGCGTGAGCCTTGAAATGCAAAGAAGGAATGTCTTTCCCTAAGACAGAATGCTGTGAATACAAAATGAATGCAATTGCAAAACGAGTCACCTGCTCTCCACCAAAAACTAGGTTAACTCTCTTCAAGTTTGCGATTTCCACAAACTTTGATTCTTTCAAGCTATACAGAGATACGATTATATAATTTTTGCTGTTCATGTACTGTACGGCGTGCCTCACCTGAACGAAGGGCACCCCGGAGCGCTCGATGGCCACCACCCCCACGGTCTGGCTGAGCTCCAGGTCCAGGATGAGGATCTCTCTGGGGTAGAGCAGCAGCATGTGGTTCCTCTTGGACGGCAGGTAGGACAGCTGCAGACAGTCGTTCAACGTCACCGCCTCGGCACTGCAGCGCCACAGGAAGAAGAGGACCGGGGGATGCACACAAAGTAGAAAAATCAAATTAATTTCAGTGTCAGGTAATCTGAACTGGGAAAAATGTTCTCGAAAAAAAGGGGTTAATGATGTATTAATGTATTTCCTACGCGTTGGCCATTCTTGTTTTAGGCACAGCAAACAAGACATGTTTGAAGAGACCAAACTTTTTTTATTAATAAGTAGGAAAATAAAGTTTGTCTTATTCGGCAGACACATCGCCAAAAATATATAATAAGCCTCTACTGCAACAGCACACTTATATGCAAACACACCAATGTGATGATGGATTTAAAACAAGCTTTAAAGAGGACATATTATGCTCATTTTAAGGTTCCATAATTGTATTTTGTTCCTCCAGTGTGCCATGTCTCCATGCTTTAATGTTCAAAAAGGTCTTTATTTTTCCAATACTGCCTGAGCTGCAGCACCTCTTTTCACACTCTGTCCGAAACCAGAGCCCAGTCTGCTCTGATTGGTCAGCTGGCCGGCTCTGTTGTTATTGGTCATCTGCTTAGCAATGCCCGCACCTTAGCGTATCGTATACAATGTGTTGGAGAGCTAGCCAATAGAAGAGCAAGCGTTACATAGTGATGTCACTAAGTTACAGAAGTAAACAAAGGACTAAAATCGAGGTGTTTCACGCAGGGTGAACTGCAAAAACTCCCTCTGGAGGGAACTTGGACTTTGTCATCTGAACTTTGATATTTCAGCCTTTGCTGAACATTCGACCGCACAAAAACATATATAACACACAGGAGGACCTCTTTAATAAAAAAAAATGTCTCTTTCCTGACATCAAATTGATATTTATTTATGTCTTCCCATACAGAAAGATGGATTAATTAGTTATTGCTTTTGTGGCCTTTGTGAGTTACAGGCAAATGAGGGAGAACTTAAAAGTGAATATGATATAATGATACAGCATTATACCAAATTTAAAAAACTGATGAATTTTTTTGCAGCATCACAAAAAAAGCCATTGAATTATTTAACGTGTTTCAAAAATGTATGTTTCCTGTAAGTCCTTTCATCTGTGTTTAAGTCATTACAAATGCTATATCCATGGCGGCAGCAAGGTCTGATCTCTCCACTCTACAACAAAGGCGTCACAAATACTTAAATTCAATCAAAAGGGAACAGAGGGCAGGTTTGGCAGAATTTATGAGCAGGCCATGGTCGTTACTCATTCCTACAGCTTCATTCCTTTAGGTCACCATGAGATGAAATAAAAGAGACAAACTTTATAACACAATGGAGATCATTATCATCCGGGGGAAGGCACAACAGATAAAATGGACTCAATTGGGTAACCTTTAGGAGTTGCTGAGCTAAATCACACTGTTACTGAAGTCAGGCGAGGCAGAGATTGTGACTGAAGCGACCAAAGGCAGAAAACATCAGAAAGAAAGAGTAAAAGAGGCTTCTGTGTATTAGATGGAATAAAATAAAAAGACACAGCTTCAGAGAGAAAGACGAAAAGCAGAAAAAGAGAAGAGAAAGTTTCGTTAACCAAGCCATCGCAAAAAATTCAACTGTATTACCAAAACATCACACTCTCCTCTTTGCTGTGAATAACCCATGAAGGTTGCAGCAGTCTGGGGATCAAACATAGCAGTGTTTCCCCTACCATTGTCTTGGAGGGGCGCCTTCAAATCAAATGCTTATACATAATGTAGTCAGATTGAGCTTCTGATGTCCACAGAATAAACTCACAAAACTTCATACTGGCAGGCAGTGGTGCATAAATTAACAATTTGGCCTTGATTCTAAAATGAGCAACAAATGTGTGCATAACTATGTTTTATGATAGAGACCCCCCCATTTTGGCTAAGAGAAGACCAACAGCAGCTGGAAATGGCAGAGGCTTGCTATGAAATAGTTTGGTTCATTTCAGGGTTTGACCCAGTGATGTATCACATGTCCGCCAAATGGGAGGTTATGTTTTTGGCCCGGTTAGTCTGGCAGCAAGATTACGATAAATCTTCTGGCTACATTTTCATGGAACTTAGTGGAAGCATGTCTCATAGGCCAACAAAGAACTCATTACAATTTGGAGGGGATCCAAATGACAGGGCAGACACACAGATCACTTTTCACTTTCATTAAAATTGCAAGGGCAAATAATGAAATAATCATAGCGGTAGTTTTGGACAGAGAAAATTCAAATGAACGCCCCTCAAGATATCAGCTATGGTCTGAATTTAACATGTAGCAGGTGAATTGTTAGGGCAGAATACAGTATTCGATCACAGGAATGTCTTGTTACCAAGGTTATTGTATCTTACTCACTATACTGTTCACTAATTTTACACCCTTTCAGAGCTGTATTAAGTTACTGCTAATTCATAAAGGCTCATCCTACTGCTACATTAAAATTGGTGAAACACTAGGTGGATTGTTGTGAAACAGTCACAGGAAACTCAATCTATTTTATTTGTTTGTGGTTAGTGTATGTTCATCAAATGCACAAGACAGGTCCAATGTTATTTTCTAAATTTCTTCATTAGCACACTGAGAACGGCACTGTGTGCCGGTGAATGGAGGTTCCGAGGCTACAGGCTTCTACAGGTAAACAAGTTTATTGTGCCCTGCTGTGTGGAAAACTACTCGCGCTGCCTGCAGCATGAACTGATGGAAAAGCTGATTTTTGACACACTGACTTCTTTATTAAAACAACATGAGTTTGCTATGGTTGCTCTTTCCCAAATCATCAGTTGCTCTTCGGTGTATTTCTAGCAAACTAGCTGATTTCGAATGTTTGCTCATTCCCAAAATAGTGGGACATATAAACCTCATGGGTTGTTGGCAATGTAGCTCAGTGTCTGACATCTTAAGGATAAGTAGCATTAGATGTAGAGATATTACAATACTGACAAGGTTGGTCGCCTTTGTTATTGTTTGTCATATTTGTGCTGGCTAAAAAACTGATGAATAGATATCTGATGAGACACTAATGTGTATGATGTAACATGTTTCTGATACCATACATTGGTACCACTTTACAATAAGACTACCCGTATAAAAGGGTTTACGAGTAGTTTGTAATTCATTTATCAATTAGGTTGTGAACACTTTATAAATCATTAATAAGCTTTTATAAGACATGAGATAAACAGGGCAACTGTGACCGGTTGCTTGCCAAATAGAGATCCCACATTTATCTGTACTGCTAAGCCTTATATTGGCTACTTAGCTTACTTAATCTTCTTCATCAGCCAGCATCCTTGGTATCTGTTGCTCACTGAGTTGATTCTCGCTAAGTAGCCAATATAAGGCTTAGTCATCTTGCCAAATAGTGAGCCTGTGTTGATGTGTGAAAACTATGTTAGAACTGGTTTACAAATGGTTCTTAATGATTAATAAAGTGTTTACAACCTAATTCATAACCCAATTATAAACCCTTTATAAGGGTAGTCTTATTGTAAAGTGGTACCCTTACATTGATATCAGTCCTGTTTAAATCCACCAATATATCAACCACAGACAGACAGCACCAGAGAGGAGAGATACCGCAACGCGGACAGAGGCGTAATGATGGAATACAGCATTTTCCAGAGCAATTACACACTGCGTTATAGGTGAGGGAAGAACGTGTCACACACCAACAGAAGACACAAAGAGTGAAATGGACACGGCGGCCGAGTAGAGTGAGAGAGAATAAAGAAAAGTAAGATTAATGGAGTGGTTGTTATTAGAGCTGGTTGAGTAGGTGAACAGAGAGGCGGCTATAAATAAGCCTGTGTGACAGCCACAGCCACTCAGGCAAGAAGCAGGCAGCACATCAAACAGGCCTTTGGTCCCTGATCCACCCAAACTTTTTGTAAAGTTATGTATTCTAACACAATTAAAATGTCAGTGTTCAGTTTAATACTTAATGGAGAAAAAAGAGGTACTTGTTTTTGTAAATTAAAGTATTGAATACAGGTGAAGTCACAACACAATACATTCATTGATTTTAACTTCTTTAACCCTGAGAATGAAAATTCAATTTTTAACTTTGTCACATTGATCAATCTCAAATCTTGCTTGGGTAGAACAAATAAACAACCTAAGGCACAAAATGAAAACATAATCCAAAATCCATTATTATTCTCCAATAGCGAAACCTGTTATTTCATCCTTTTGACAGAAACATAATTTTCGACTTCAGATCTCTCAGGTGTGATCAATAGTTGTTTTTTTTGTTGTTGTGTGTATTCTACCAAACATCATTTCTCCCATATGTAATTTCTCCCAAAGAGGCAAGTAGATTTAACCACATAGTGACATCACTTTGTAACACCAGTGCTCCAACACAATGTATGTGATTTGCTTAGGGGCGGGAAATCTCTAGGCAGTTGGCCAATCACAATAGAGCCGGCAAGCTAATCAATCAGAGCAGACTGGGCTCTGGTTTCAGACAGAGGGTGAAAAGAGGTGCTGCAGCACAGGCAGTAGGAGGAAAATAAAGAGCTTTTTGAACATTAAAGCATGGAGATATGTCACAGTAGACACAAAATACAAATATGAACCTGAAAATGAGCAGAATATGTCCTCCTCAAGTTATTGATAAAAAAGGTGAAGAGCAGCACATGTTACAGAGACACAAAAGGAGTGTATAATTGGCATTCACAACCTGCCGAGAGCTCATTCAATGGTGTATTGTGCTACATAGATAGGCTTGTTTACATTGTATTACACATTTGTATTAACAACAAACTCATATATCATGAAATTAAACTTTTTGTCTTCATTTTTACCTGCAGCAGAGGACATAATATTATACCTACATGCAGATTCACTACAGGTCAAGGGTGTACAACAAATACAAACACTTTAGATATCCTTAGACCAAGACATTGTTTGATAACATTCTTGGAACTGCTTGTATAAAACTCAAGTGAGTTGACCCAGAGCAAAGTCCTTGATTCGAGGTTGTTCTAGTAAAACTCTTAGGGACCTTACTTAAAATGCAGAGAAGGTTGCTGGTGGATTTACTGACATATGGGAAAAGTTTTAAATTAGCAATACATTTATAAAAAAAATCCGACTTACGTGGGTTTTTCATTGGTGATGAGCACTTTGACCTTGTTGAGGGCCTTCTTGGCGCCTGTGGGGGCAAGGGAGATGGCAGAGGCAGGCTTGGTGTGGGCGGGGCTTGCATGGGGGCTGGCGATGTAGACCTTTTTACCAGCGCTGCCCGGGGGTTTGGAGTGGGAGAAGTCTGTGATAAAGACTATTCCTTCACTGGTCAGCACTGCCAAAAGACAGAAAAGAAACGTTTAAAAGTTACAACTGTCAGTAAAGACAAATGGTAAAATATATTTATTTCAATTTAAAAAGGAAGGCAGCAAAGTCTCTCTCATATTTGTAATCTTAATATATCTTAAATCTAATTCCACCTCCAATTACAAAAAAATAAAACATGTAAACAGTGTATAAACAAAGGCTGAGTCATATTTTTTTCGACACATTTGTTGATAACTTACATGCCATATTGGAGGGGTCAAAGGGGTCAAATGAGAAGGAGAGGATGTTCTCAGCGTAGCTCTTCTTCCACAGCTTGGTGCCCGTGTCTCCGTTCCACAGCACGATGTAGTTGGGAGGGTGGATGGCCAACAGTAGATCACGAGACGCATCCTGATTCCATAACCACTCCAAGTCTGGCAGAGAAAGAGCAAGAAACAGAGGGGAGAATAAAGAGTAAAGTAAGTGCCAGAACAGAAAGGGCAGAGAATGATGGTAAGAGCTTCTTAATGAAAACAAATAGTCAACAACAGTTCCAAGTTTCTCCTTGGCAGGGCCCCTGGGGGTGATATCCTTCCTGTACAGAACTGAAGGACAAGAAATCAATCCAAGCTTACATGAGAGGAAGAGGGGGGGGTTGTGGAAGGTATCTTACCCTGGATAGGTTTGGAGTGCTCCTGGATCTCACAATGGGCGGTGCCGCTGACCACATCCCACACTATGATCTTCCCCGAGGCGTCTCCTGAGGCCAGCCGCAGACAGTAGGGAGAGCTCTGGTTGTGGTAGTAGTTCTCCCTGGACCATTTCACCTACAAAACACCAGAGGTAACGCACAGTAAGTTAAAGTAGCAATACTACTGTGTAAAAATACACAGCTGCAAGGAAAGGTCCTGCATTCAAATTCCTACTCAAGAAAGTACAAAAGTATAAGGATGAAAATGTATTTAACGTAACAAGCGAAAAGGACTCGTTATGCAGTATAGCCCATTTCAGAATCGTATATATTACATTATTGGATTATAGTTATTGATGATTTATTATTGTTTTCATAACTTCAACATTACATTTGGTAAGGGTTGGGTTTATTTGAAATACTTTGTATTCAGTTGGTTAGCTTTACATGTAATAATATATCTTAAGACAGCAATCTCCCTTGGATTTTTTAATCCTTGAATGGCTTTTAATTTTGGTTAATTTTAATGGTATCATTGTTCATGTTTTGTTGTTTTTCTGAATCTTGCTCTGTTAAGCACTTTGCTGCCTGAAAGGTGAAAAAGTAACAAGTAACTAAAAAGTATTCGATTAAAAAAGTACAAAATGTGCATCCAAATGATATTAGAGTTAAAGTATAAACAGCATAAAGTGAAGTACAAGGACTTCATATTTGATCTTAAGTACAGTTATTGTTATTTATTAACACAATTTTCAAAATCATTTTTGCCAGTCGCTATGGCAGTGTTCCTCAAAGTGGGGGGTCAGAGGCAGGACAGGGGGGGGAGCGTGAGACCAGGAGGAAAAATTGTTATGACAAAATAAAAAAAAGTTTAAAGAAAATGGTTATGACGTTGGCATGACCGGCAGAAGTTACACTTAGAAACCTTAGAAACCTATGAGGGCGCTGTAGGACACAGGTGTGCAATGTACATGTTGAGGATGGAAGGTCAATAGGCGGTGTCAGGGGGGCTGCAGGTCCCCCTAGGATAGCCATAGCACCCCCTAAGCGCCCCCAATAAATGTATGTCTTTTTTATTTTTACGTGTGAAATTCATAATTTGAAAAATGATTGATTTGAAAATAATATGCTACAGTACAGTACAAGTAAGTCTGGGTCTCTGTGTTTCATTCAAGCTTGGCTCTGTGTGTGTGTGGAACGAGCCATTTTGTGTGCGTGCGCGAGAGAGAGAGAGCGCGCACCGGTACCGGAGATTGTTGTTGTTAGCATCTGGTGCTAGCTAGCTACGCTAACGGATATAAGAAGCTTTTTCAACAACAAGGTGGAGGGAGAACTCTCGCCTGTCAGACTGAGAGGCTCAGATAACCTCAGCTCAGTGTTTAAATTACACACTGAGATTAGTTATCTCAGTGGGTCTCAAACGGTTTGGTCACGATTAATGTAAACAATTATTTCCGAGGCAGACGTTTATATGATCATTATAGGTATAAAAAAATAAGAGAATAAATGAAAAACAGGTATGAAATACTATATGACAGTAAAACAAGGATACAGTTTAAAATGGGAGTGACTTGTAAAATATCCATAAAGAAAAAGAAAATCTGTTTACAGTTCTGTTTCAAATGGGTGTTGAGAGATGTACCCATAGATCTCCTCATGTTGCTCTCAAAGTGCACCATATTGATGCTTTTAACTTCAATATTTAAAAAAAATCTTCCCGGGGGAGCATGCCCCCGGACCCCCTAGAGGAGGTTAGGTCCCCCCCACTTAAATCATGTTCACATGGATACTAAATACATTTGCACACATCTTGTGTCCATATCTTTCTGTTTTGGTGGTCATGCCACACTGTGCACATGCATGCATGCATGCATGCGCGAGTCATGGCACGATATCTGGATTAAGAGGTTGCTTTTCTTTGCACAGCATGAAAGAAAGGCCAAATGAATTGGCTGTGATTTTAGCTTTTAAGCAGAGGTTGAGTTCAATCATACGGCCCTCGGAGGATGTTGTAA